TTACGTCGTTGGATTTCTGTCTCATTTTATTCATATTGCTCATCATGATCGATTCCTTTGAATTATAATATTTGTTTCTTACAGAAAGAGAAGAAAAACACGATTCGATTCATTTTTGTTCAATATATAAATTTAAGATTTGACAATTAACCGTATATTAAATTTGCTCTCCCAAACTCATTGCATACCACAACTGTTCATTGTTATTGTACGTAACATATTTGATTCCATTATTATAGATTTGTTAAAGAATTTACAAGTATAGCCTATAAATAATTGATAAATTCTCAATTAAGAATGAAAATGAACGTCTACTACCGATTTCAGTGCGCGTGAACTCTCCGTTCACCTTTATGCCCTCGAGACCAAAACATTTTAAAGTCATATACATGTATATAAAAAGTGTCTATGTTCATTAAAATAACAAGGACACAAGAAAACAACCAAAGCCATACGAGGCCAAATTTTCTACCTTCAATTATATATAATTTATAAACTGTAAATTTATGTTAGAAAATTTATCCTTTTAATCATGTTGGACGGAAGAATGTCACAGTGGGAAAACTGTTGAAGCGAAAACAATAGAAAAATAAGCTCTTCTAATGAAAACGGTGATACAATCAATAGGTTGTTTACGTTCGTAACAATACTGATTAATTGTTTTTTTTTTTTCGAAACCACAATCGTATTTTTTGAAAATAATTGTTCGACTTTGAAATTTGAAATAAACATGCAAATGCACATTGTCTAATTTTCATTATTTGTAAATTTCATTAGAAGCTAGTTACACTGATATTTGATAAATGTTAATCTTTGCTGCATATTGATAAAAAAAAATGGAAAAATCATGTACATGCAAAATCTGAAGCTCTTTCCATACACCAAGTTTTAGCCTGAGTGTTCCACATAGTTCCTCGCATGATACAATATCCAGAAATTTATCTATTTTCCACAATTAGTTTTCGAGTACATCAATTTGCTCATGATCACAGGAATTTTCAATAAAAAAATATAGTTTTTGTGCGAAAATAACGATTTAAAAGTTATTTATGATGGTTGAAAAATTAAAGGAGCATATTTTTATTTGTTAATTTTGCGGTCGATTTGATGCATGTGCATTAAATGTTCATTTCGGATTCTGGTGTTCCATTTGTCAGTTTCTGAACGGGTGATAATTTTGCAACAAGATTTCCCATTAGGTCATATATATAGCAGGGAGAGAAAATTGAAATAGAATGAGAATGCATAGAATTATGGCTGCCATTCCCCTTCCATTCTTTTAATTCACCCATTCTCTATTTTTCCTAAACCTTTTCGTTTTCCGATTGACTAGCATTATTCCTAAGTCCCTGTTGTAAGATACATATACATGAATATAAGATGTTGTGATGATTTTCAATGAGACAACTACCCCCCCCCCCCCCCAAAAAAAAAACAAAACAAAAAAAACTACAGGTCCATATAAAATACTTTAATAGGCATTCCGAAATGTGAAACAGTTTAGATAAGAAAACACTTAAGCACATGGACAAAAGTTATGTCCTTTTAAATAGTTTCACTTTTATCTTATACAAATTTGCAAATTTTCAAAGTAATACTCGGAACTCATTTCAAGTTGACCAATTTACATGAATTTTTCATCGTCAAGCTCGGTAATATTCACATATAGGTACTGTTACTGTGTATGATGCCTAGTGTACGGATGTGTCATCTAGCTAGTATTGTTTTACCTGTAGGTGCTTTATTTCTATGATAATGAGGAGATTCTGTTCAGTCAGTCACAAGTATACCTTATAAAATTATTCTAGCAACATGAAAATCATATCATTTTTTTTCTTTACTTCTATGCAATGTTAACACCATTAACAAAACAAAATGTGTAAATTTCTACTAAGAAAAAGGAATTTATGCCTGGAAAGGTGAAACAGATCTTGATATATTTTTAAATATCTACTTTTGATAAGCAGTGCACCGCCTCTAGACAAGGTAGTTCCACAGTAACTTCGATGACATATGTAGAACTTTCAACGTTGTCATTACTGGTGGTGTGTTAATTCTTTTAGCCAATGTTTCAGTATTGGCGTGATACATTTTGATTGTAACATTTAGGGTGAAAGAGTAAGTTATTGTACTAATTAAAATTCCTCAGGCTTTAGCCGATTAAGGATGTTCTATTTTGGCATTTTTGGATATTCAGCTTTTTTACTGTTTTTTATGTTGTAAAAAAAAACGTTTGGTCTTGTGCGTATGTGATTACGTTTATTTCGGAAACACGTGTCACGCGCACTGAAGTCGGTACAATATGGTGGAGAGTTGTATCATTGGCAATCATACCACATCTTCTTATTTTTATAATACGTTTACATTTAATTCCGAGGATACCAATTTTTCCGTTCTTGTTTGATTAAGATGAAATATTTAGATAATTAACTTTTTTTTTAATTGGAAATTGCATTTAAACTTGTGTTTCGACTCATTCATGCAAAGTCAACTTAAAATTAATATTGGTTGTTATGTGCACGCATTTTCGAGTTAGATCCTCTTTTTCTGTTGCCACATTTCTGGCATAAGGTTTTAAATGTTTTACGTACTCCAAGAGCAAGGCATAAACAAATAGCCAATTTTGTCAAAAGGCTAACTTGGCAAGAGAGTTGCAACCTTAGTTTTTTTTAGATATATGATCTTACGGACGCCATCACGAGTTGGTTAACCGTTATGGAATATCTGTTTTACAGATGACGACGGATATGTTCCAACTGTCGTAGCTACAATCTTGTCCCCTTTCCTATGTGACCTACCGAATTAGACATATCACCGGGTTTGTACTTACATGAGCAACACCACTGGTTCCACGTGTGGAGCAGGATCTGCCTACCCTTCCGGAGCACTTTAGATCACCCCCAGTTTTTGATGGGGTTCGTGTTTCTCAGTCTTTAATTTTCTATGTTGTGTTTTGTGTACTGTTGTTTGTCTATTTTTCTTTTTCTTTTTTAGCCATTGTGTTGTCAGTTTATTTTCGACTTATGAGTTTGAATGTCCCTTTGGTATCCTTCGCCTCTCTTTAAATCATCCAAGTTCCAAAAGTATTGGACGCTGGGCGACATTAACACTTAATTTACCCTGCTTTACGAGTGAAATTTTGCCTTATTTTTCATCGAGAAAACTTGTCCAAATAAAATATCGGTTCATGGGTTCAGCCATATGACTAAAAAAATATCTAGGGTCTTATCAATATCGCCTGTGGTTGCATATTTGAACCCGAAATTTTCTGCCGTCGTCACAATTCAGAAGTTCTGTTTTATTCAGAATTCAGAATTGAATTAAGATATTAAATGCTGTATAAATACATGTATAAAAACATGCATGAATAAATACTATGTAGGGTATAAGGCAATGAGACTGCAACCCAACGACACAAAAACTCAAAAGACATCTAGGGGTCAACCTACAGTCCATACTATATGTCAAGCCCTGAATCCTCCTCAATCTAGAAAAAAACAGTAGATTAATCTTACAGAGGCTGTCATGATATCCCTAACGGACCACGTGATTAAGATATAATACACGACAACTCCAGACTTTGGACAGGCATGTGAATATGTGGTGGGTACACAAAAGAGAGACGAAAGATACCAAAGGGATAATCAAACTCATAAGTCGGACTGATAATGCCATGGCAATACACGAAAAACAATCAAAAGAAAAACAACAGTATACAAAATAAAAACTAAAAACCGGGGGGTGATCTCAGGTGCTCTGGAAGATCCTGCTCCAACAATGGCACCCGTCGTGTTGCTTATGAAAGTACAATCCTGGTGATAAGTGTAATTCGGTAGGTCACATTCGAGGGAAAAAGGACGGGATTGTGGTTGCGACAATTGGAATAATCCGTCGTTATCTGTGAAACAAGTATTAACGGTCAACCAATTCATGAAAGCGTCCGTAAAATTTTCGACGGGATGATTTGAACTTGCCCACTTGGAACTCTAGGTTTAAAAGATTCCTTGCAAGCAGAAACCCTCTATCAAGGAAATAATTAAAGGAAGCTCAGAAATATCGTATTAATTGAGAAATATATACTCAGTATTCAGTATGCAGGCTCTACTGGAATGTTGCTACATAGAAATGGATATTCACAATTGGGAAGCGGAAATCATTCTTTTTGTCGTAAAGTTTTGTTCTCAACTAAACTTCATTGTCAATTTTAAGACGGTAGTCAAGATGTGAGTTACAGTTGTATCCTTTATTTAAAGTTCGACGGGATAGATGCGTTCAACATAGTCATCAAACTTTGAATTATTTAGTGAGCGAACATCATCTTCATAGCGGAACGTGAAGTTAAAGGATTATGTTATCTTCTATTCATTTTTCCTTTCAATACTCTCCTTTTCAATCTCATCAAAAGAATAATAAGAGTAACACAGAAAAACATACAATAAAAATCAGATAACAAAATCAATTCCATCCTATAATAGTGGTATAATAGACAGCAAAGGCAAGTAAAACAATAACGAAACATATCGCATCAAATAAAATTGAGAATGGAAATGGGGAATGTGTCAAAGAGACAACAACCCGACCATAGAACAGACAACAGCAGAAGGTCACCAACAGGTCTTCAATGCAGCGAGAAATTCCCGCACCCGGAGGCGTCCTTCAGCTGGCCCCTAAACAAATATATATACTAGTTCAGTGATAATGAACGCCATACTAAACTCCAAATTGTACACAAGAAACTAAAATTAAAAATAATACAAGACTAACAAAGGCTAGAGGCTCCTGACTTGGGACAGGCGCAAAAATGCGGCGGGGTTAAACATGTTTATGAGATCTCAACCCTCCCCCTATACCTCTAGCCAATGTAGAAAAGTAAACGCATAACAATACGCAAAGAATGCTCCCAAATGCTGAAATCAAACTAAAACTACTTAAAACTACTGATACATAAATCATGAATATATAGAATGAAAGTTTCAAGGCATTATTAAAAAGACCAAATATCCAAATTTAGCTTTTTATTCTCACTCGTCGCACCCGAAACATTATTAACAAACTATGAAGCAATATTTACACGATACAACGCAAAAAAGAACATTAAAATAAAATCTGAATGCATAATGAGATATGATTGGATGGGAAATATTTACAAAAGCAATAATATCTAGAACTTTCGGATATAACCGGACCCATATTTAGCTACTTAAACGTTTAGTTAACAAACGATGAATATTTAGCCAATCCAATCTCCGCGGCGTCTTTGTTGTAATTTTCCATATCTGTAAGAAGGGTAACGTTTACCGAGAAATTCCATTGTGCGTTTACCCAAAAATTCCATAGCGCGTTTCCCAAGAAATTCCATGTATCGTTTATCTAAAGGAATAATGTTGCGTTTTCCTAAGAATTCCATATATCTTTTGCCAATGAATTCCATACCGCGCTTTTCACCGACGTCACTTTGAAAGGGTTTCCAGCTCATTCTAGATCTTTTACCAATAAACTCTGCATATTTTTTGTCTTTTTTCCTTAAAAACTCAAAATATTTTTTTAATTCTTCTTTTTCATCGTTCTGACCGGGATCCGTAAAAGCTAATGATTGAATACTTGGTAGTCTGCCATTTTCCAGATACTTGACACTAGAAAGATATGGAATGTCTAACGGAGGCGAGTCATTATCGGGTGTGGTGAGGAGATTAGCAGAAATTTGGAGAGCTCGGTCTACGGCGTCAGAATCGCCTAGATCATCTACAATATGAAGAATAGAATTATAATGATTAATTGAGGTAAATGAGTCAAAAAATGATGCATTATAAGTTGTCTAAATTCTTAAGGAATCGTTAAAGTGTTCAAAAATGAAATGGAAAATAAAACAATATTCTGGTGCAAAATATAAATTTAAAAAATGAATTCGGTCAATACCGCACTGAACAAATAACCGAGTATAAAGAAAGAACTGTAGCAATGTCAAAGATATTTTTAAAAGTTCTTAAAATAAACATACTTCCCTCGACAATAAATCTGAACCTGACAAACAAACACAATGGTTATGATATACAACAACAAACGTAGACAATTCTTTGTAAAAACAAACCGTCTTATTCAAATTATGAACGATTCCATGATACAGGTTTCTTGCATCTTGTGAACAGATAATATATTAAGGCTGACTTAATCGGCGTAAAACCTGAATCTAGTGAATGTTTGATGAAGTTGGTAAAACTATAGTACTGTATTGTGTAATAAAACTTTTAACATTCCTGCCACGTTGTATATTAGCAAATAGTGGGTGATTTCATGCGTAAGTTGGTTTTATATCATTTGTTAAAAAAAATGATTTTAGAAACAATTTCAAATATCAATTTTATCTGCGACACATTAATCGTTTGAACACTCAAAATTAAAACATGAAATATTCAGTTTTTCATCCTTTTAAGTCACATACCGCTATTACAATGTTGAAATATTTAAGTTTTTGCCTTTCATCTTTTACTATTTATTGAGTATCACAAAAACTTTTTATTTCAATTTTTATTTGTCATACAGATAAGTCATTTTTAAATTTAAGTTTGATGAAAACAGGAATAAAATATCTACAAAGAGATTTAATTTAAGTAGTTAAGATTAAGCTTTATTTGAAGAAAATAAAATTCAAACAAAGAATTGTCTTTGATAATAAGTATATATTACATAACATACAATATAGTATAGATATAGCACACTTGCTCTGCAATATTGAATCCTATATAGCCATGCGCATGCTATTACATAATTTCCCAATAAATGTGCGTGTGCGCCTGGAAATCGCAAAGGTAATTGCCAACAGTTTGTGCATATACTGTATCTTGTAAACCGGATTCGAGTTATGTGATTCAATATCAATACAAATACTTATAGTGAGTGAAATGTGTTCACTGAACATATTTGGAGAAACTCGAAAACGTTTTACATGAATTCGCGCATGCGTACGTTTATACTCTAATAAGACATAAGGATTAATTGTGACCACCAAACAACATCGCACTTACGTCCTGTTATTCTCATTACTAATTAATTGTCGTTGCATTGTAGGTGCTACATAGCTTAAACCTGGATTTAAATCATCTAATGCGAAATCAGCGCTGCGCCGCCCGACAAAGAACGGAGTGTCAAAGCGCTTCTCTGAAAGAATATTGGGCAAACTGTTGCCTTCCCTTTTCCCTACAAATTCTGGTACAACAAATCGTTTTGAAAAATCAGAAAACATGGGATGGCCATTTAAAATTTGCATTTCCTGAGGTAAATAAAGCCGTTCCCTTTCCCTTTTGTCCTTTATATCATTGTTTAGCGTATCGAAATTTAAACTGTTTAAACTAGCGCTATTTAGCTCGTATTCGCTTGCTGCATTAACTGACCTTTTTCCTCCAACATAATAACTAGTATCAGCTGGTCGAGCATTTTCTCTTTTGCCAACAAACAGTGGTGAATCGCGCCGTCCTACAAACATAGGCGATCCTCTCCTTCCTACAAACATTGGTGCTCCTCGCTTGCCGACAAATCTTGGTGCGTAGCGCTTTCCAATAAATAAAGGTGCTCGCCGTCTGCCAACAAACATAGGCGACCGCCGTTTGCCAACAAATCTAGGAGCCCATTTTACATCTCTCTCAAATGCTGATAAATCTGAATTTGAATCTTCATCAGTCTGTGTATTAAAATCCCCCGAAAGGTGTTGCGATTCAGACAAACTATCATCATAACTTTTGAGCAAATCTAATAAGAATTTTTGTTCATTTTCTTGATCATCATTTTCTTCTTGTTGTTTTATAAGTAACTTTTCGACTTCGTCCTCGCCCATCGTCCGTTTACCAACAAACCGTGGTATATGCGCACTACGCATCCTTATAGTATGCGCAAGATCTGCATCTTCGCTATCGCTTTGTTCAAATCCTGTCAATGCAAGAAGAAATGATACAAAATTAGAAATAATTTAACCAAATTTAATCTTCATTTTACAGCATCAAATTGTAAAATGCTTTGAACTGCAGAACTTCATAATCATTTCATGGACGCGCAAACAATCATCTAAATACTTATTTTTTGGTATTGACTGAATATAATTTAAACAAATACTGCATGTCTGTTGTAATTAGTGGGCAATGACCCTGTGAGTGTAACTAACTGTTACACCATTTTACCAATTTTGTGTGTGTAGTTAACGACATTAGATCAAAGTATTATATAAACCACTTAACTAATATTTTATAGATATCTTCTTTCGAGAAAAAAAAATCCTCGGTAAAGGTATAAAAAGCTAAAAAATACATATTGAAGATAGAAAACCCTATCACAAGTGGAATTAATTTTTTCCCAAGTAAAACAAGATGAAATTTTATTTTTTAGACTTGTTACGTATACAGGATTGCTCCATGTCTATTGTAGAAATCCACCCAATAGCCTTTCTTTGTCAGTAGAAGGCTGGTTGGTCATAACTAGTGTGTTTAGCCAGTTGATACGGTAGCAATTATATTAAGATTTATAAATGGTAATTTTATGACAATGCACCCAAGAACAAGAACAAGTGAACTAATCATTTCCCTTCAAAAGAAAAAACAAGGAATAACTATTATATGTTATTTACCCGACAATAAGGTTGTTTTATTTACAAAAAACACGAACAGGACATTTACAGTTGGGTGTGATTTTCATCAAATAGTTTCCCTGTTTTATCTTTATTTCATCAACAGTAATGTTCAAAAGAAATTTCATTTTATTGAGGCATTGCATGTATACTTTGTTCTTACATTTACCACCAGGTTTGGATTTCTGTTTAAAAAATAAAAGATTTCAAAATATAAATCAGCGTGAAATTCCAAGTAAGGAGGACAATCTGAAACGACTAAAATCCTTGCAGAGGGTTTGGGCATTGGTAAAGTACCGCTAAACAAAACTGTAGGTTCCATTCATATAGCCTCGTTATCAAATATTAATGAATCCATCTAAGTACCGGAAATATAAACTATGTTTGCCACGTGGAAGGACGAATCATCGGAAACATTCTTCGATATACTTCCTTTTAAATGAATCGACAAAATGGCGCATATATTTTCACATCTTATGCAACTACTGAGAATAGACATATCAAATGCAAAACAAAAGGCGATGCTTACGTATAAATCTTACGGCTATATTGTGCAAAGTATGATCAAGTAAATTGTTTTACTTAATAAAATCACAGGACATAAATAATACAAATAATTCTCCAATAAAACGCAGGAAATCATAATTACCGTACCGTAATTTTATCTATTAAGTCAACGTAAGGTAGCGTGATTGCATTTCAAGAGTCAATTCTTTCTTTTGTCGATTTCCACTGTAAGTGTTGACGTCGTTTGCCTAAATACATTTGCACTATTCAGTGTTGAAAAGGTGTCGTGCTCTTTGTAGACGGTTGTTTGAGTGAAAAGAGGGAGGGGGAGGGGGTGGTCACTGTCTCTGCTCTGTCAGAAATATTATCAGCTTTAACTTATAATCGATGTCATCACTGAAGAAGTTTTACCTTCACCGTAACGAATAAGTCGATAGTTTTTTTGTGAATATGTCAAAAAGCAATTCGATGGATTCGGTGTATTTGGTTTGCAAAACATAGTATATATACTTAATCTTTCGGTTCAAATATTTCCACTCAAGGTATTGATAGGAGACCAAAAACCATAGGTTAGAATGTTCATCTTTTGTTTGCAGTCTTGTCACGTTGACGTTGGTACGTCTTTTTGTATATTGTGCACTTCAATCTGTTTTTAATCAACATTTTGTACTTCTATGTCATGAAGTCATGCCACGAAGACTTTGACTTTTGAGTGAAATAATAAGTCTTTTTCCTGTAACTTACAAATCTCAACAAAATCACATGAGATATTAAATCACAATTTTTGTAATCTTTCTTTTTTAAATACAACATATTAGGATATTTTAAGGGATCAAATTAGCTACGATATAACCTTTTTGCGCTTTTATATGCCGGCATAAGGCAAACAATAATTAATAATTCATGGCCTACATAATATATCAATGTAAAAACTGAAAATCAGAAATTAAACGATCCTTTTCCTTTAAAAGTTTGCATGTGATATGCTATTTAAGGATCAACAAGTTAAAATATTCACAACTATAAATATAAATGTGTAAATCAAATATACAAAGTAGCATTACCTGTTCCATTGGCAAATGTTCTTACAATTAAATATGTAATGGCCAGAAAGGTAGTCGATAAATTCATTCTGTGCCCCGGAATATCTGAAAAAACCATGCAACAGACAAGTGTGAGTAAAACAATTATGATATAAAATACACAGCCAAGTGTGAGATATAAAACAAATCTATTAACCATAACATACTAATGCCATTTCATGGTCATTGTTTTTCGCATTTGTTTTATTAAAATATGTTGAATAAAATATCGGCATGATACGGTACTTAAATTTGATACAAATTGTTCAATTTATTAGATGCCATTTGCTGCATGCGACGCACTATTGTTCACGATTAACACATGATCACCGATAAAAGATTATTCTGTACAGTGACATAAGAAAAGTAAGAAAATACCAAGAGGCAAGAAAAAAAAAACAGACAACGCTATGTCCAAAAGATAAATAAAGAAAAAACAACAGACAACGCTATGTCCCAAAGATAAATAAAGAAAAAACAACCGACAACGCTATGTCCAAAAGATAAATAAAGAAAAAACAATTAACAAACACCAAACTGAAGATTAAACAACACGAACAACATAAAAACCGGGGTTAAACTAAAGTGCACCAGAAAGATTATCTCAAAATGCTAGACTGAGATTAACAAAGAGTTCACATTGTTAATGTGGAATATGAATTAAATTGTTTGTTTTGTTCAATGTATAGAATTTCATTTTATGAATTACATATGTGTACTGACTTATCTCAGACTAATTTGGTTTAAGAATAATTTGGTATTTGGTAACTTTTGGTTCTAAAGCTCCGAAAGGTTTTATGTAGCCGGCTTCTAAAATGTAATAATTGAAACCGGTGACGTATGCACTGAAATGAGTACCATACGAACTAGAAATAGATATCGTATACACGTTTTACGCACTGAAATAGGTGTCGTACGCACTGAAATACGCGTCGTTCTGACTGAAATAGGTGTCGTTCACACTGAAATGAGTGTCATACACACCAGACATAGGTATTGTATGCATTTAAACACGTGTGTAACGCACTGTAATAGGTGTCATACGCACTAAAACACGTGTCGTTCTTATTGAAATTGGTGTCGTACACACTGAAATAGGTGTCGTTCGCACTGAAATACGTGTCGTTCTGACTGAAAACGTGTCGTACGCACTGAAATACGTGTCGAACGCAATGGAAAACGTGTCGTTCTGACCGAAATAGGTGTCGTACACACTAAAATACGTGTCGTTCTTACTGAAATAGGTGTTGTATACACTGAAATGGGTGTCATACACACTAGAAATAGGTATTGTATGCACTTAAGCACGTATTCTACGGACTGTAATAGGTGTCATACGCAATAAGACATGTGTCGTTCTCACTGAAACACGTGATTTACGTACTGAAATCAGCTATATTATTCAAAAGGCAAACCGCGAACGCCAACATGAGTTTTTGTATATTTCACCTATATGAAATAGTCAGAATGAACCAATTGAATATGGAACGACTTTAAGTGAATGTAAATGGGGTTTTATTTATAATCTCTGTTTATTCTTATCAGTTAATACCATATTAATATGCTTTATTTTCGTGACAGATAAGCAGTAAAGGGTTTTCCCCAAAGTCATCCAATTATGTACCGATTTTATTACAAAATTCACTCTCGGTAGAACAATTAACTTATTTTGTTATAACATATAAAATATATTGTTTTACTAACCATGCTATCATATTTGTTAGAGTTCAAATCAATCCATTCTTTAGACGGCAAATGTAGCACATGTTAATAAAACGTTCGTAACCAAAAGAATACAATGATATAGGGTTATTGCATGGATAGTGGTACATATTGTACCGAGTAGATCTGTTTATTGCAATTTTCTTCTTTAATCTATTAAACATCGTTTTAAACAGGAGTGCTGTTAATTTCATATCATTTTGAGCATTTTCTACAAAAATATGAACCCTGAAAGTTTGACCCCCATTAATCTCAATGGAATTTCTTTGTGTAGAACAACACTGAGGTTGTGAGTCCGAATCCGGCACGTGGCAGGTGCGTTCGACTGCAATATTACTTGACTAGGATTGTCAGTTTTTCTACCGAAGGTCGATGGTTCTCTCCGGGCACTCCGGCTTCCTCCAACAATAAAAACTTACCACCTCGAAATAGCACAATAATGCTGAAAGTGGCGTTAAACACGAATCAATCAATCAATCAATCTTTGAGTAGTATATTTCGTATGTTTTGTTGTACTAAAACGACTTCTTATTATTAACTTGATCGTCAGTCATGTGTTATACCTCGAGAGAATTTAGCACTGGCATTTTATACGTTAACAGTAATTGTCGTTTGTCAGACAGGTGTGAAAAAGTAGCCTGTATCACTTAAAATTTAATTTGTAATTGTCTACAGTGCTCATGTCTCTTTGGAGATGTTAACTTTTGTAAAAGAATCGCCAAGTCATCTGAATCGAAGTAAGATAATTCGAAGTCGGATTTCTTCAAGCAGACATATCTATATTCTTATAAAATTGTCTTTTAGCATTGATTCCTGGTTCTGATAAATACTGCATTTGAATAGTTTGAACAGTTACGCAATTAGAGCACTGATTAATGATGTGTGAAACAATACGTGCACAGTGGAAAGTAATGTCACTTAACAACTCAAATATGGCGATTATTACTTCTTGTCTGCTATTTTATTTTCCTTAGGTAAGATACCAGGCAATATTCTTGAAATTGTCATTTTTTTTTCGCAGTTATCATTTTAAATATGTGGGTTAAGTCTTTTTCACTTAAGGTAAGAGATATATGATATTAGGTCATTCTTTATTGACCTAGAAAGAAAATTTTCTCGCTAATACAATTTATTAGCATTAGTTACACCCATGGTCGTATTTCAAAATTGTGGTTAATACTTAGTTTGATATGTGTGAGTTATCGCGATAAATAAAAAAAACATAGATCAAATTATAGGTAAAAATCAAACTGAAGGAAAGTATAATTTCTCACGTTTCGCTATTATAGGGAGAAATTATTGTATGTAGTACGGTACTAGCGTATAGTTTTATAAGTTTACGTCACTAGGTATAAGACACGTGACTAATTTTATAGCGGGAAATTTTTTCCCTGAGACTATCATGCACTTTCTAGCCCGCCGCAGACAGGGCAGCATTCAAGTTTCATTCGTATTATGAATAAATTATGATACATGTATTTATATGTTTTTTAAAACAATACACGTCCGAGTATGTCTCGTGAGACGACTTGTCGCATTGGGTCGGACCCGGGTTTCCAGTTTATCCCATAATTGGGTTTGTTTAGTTGTTCCAGGCCGGCGAGGTCGTTCATGATCGAGTTATTCATTTATTCAGTTATTCAGTTTACATTCATGTCAACCATATAATAGCTCTTGTTCGTATAAGGTTTACATTATTCTAGCTAAGTTGTACCTAATAGTATATATCATGGTTTCGTTATTCGGAGTAATTGTGGTTATTATTTTTTCATATGTTTATATATATATATTAAGATACATGTATGTAAATAATTAATAAATTCCGTTGTCCACTATGCTTGCTGGGCTATCAGCAACACTATATATTGTATTAATTCATACTAGAATAATAGATATGAGCGTATAAGGTATAAGTATGTGTATGCAATAACGCTTTTATGTTTTTGAAATGTGTGTATTGCATGTTTTATCTGGTGCAGAAAAATTGGTACCCTTAATGTTATTCTAAAAGCATACTACATTGAAGAGAACAACATATTATATGAATATCCAAAGGTTTGTTCGTATGCCGAATCTAAATAAAGTTTTATTCACTTACTTACTTACTTCATGTGATAATGATAGTACTAAAAGCTTTTTCTAATCTTCTTGTTGAGAGCTATTTCTCAGCTTGTATTACTGTACGTTCGTCTGAGCTTTTTTAACTGTACGTTCGTCTGAGCTTGTTTTTATTGTATGTTAAACCATTGTTAAAAGTTTTTTTTTAACTTGCTCATTGTTGAAGGCCGTATGTTATTCTGTAGGTTATTTTTACATAATTGTCCATCGACTTTAATTGGAAAGTATTATCAATGGCAATCATATTCCACATCTATTTATTTTTCTATTAAATTTGTTTAAAGATGAAAAAACACATTTTGTTTGGAGTTTTCACGAAGTTATACGAAAGGAGTATACTATTTAGGTCTAAGTAAATGCTGGCAGCGAAATGTTGTACTGTTGCACCACTGTCCCTGTTTAAGGGGTGCCTGCTAACATGTTTAACCCCGCCACATTATGTGCCTGTCCCAAATCAAGAGCCTGTAAATCAGTGGTTGTCGTTTGTTGTTGTATATCATATTTGTATTTCGTTTATTGTTTTTTACATAGATAATGCCGTTAGTTTTCTCGTTTGAATTGTTTTACATTTGTCATTTCGGGGCTTTTATAGCTGACTATGCGGTATGGGTATGCTCGTTGTTGAAGGCCGTACGGTGACCTATATAGTTGTTAACTTCTAGGTCATTTTGTCTCTGGTTGAGAGTTGTCTCATTAACTATACCACCTCTTGTTTTATTTTTATAGATACAATGTATAAAATGATTACAATGAATCAAAAAAATATAGGAAATAGATACGCTCACAGTACAGCCTTTTGAAAATATTTATAATCTGTGAATACATAGTCTATTTAGTAGTTGAATTCGGGATTTGAACTACCTTTCAGTAACTGAGTACTCTTAGATCGGTACTTTGTGTCTTAAATGATAATTTTATGTCTCTTACCCAAGAGCAAAAGTAAATGAAATGCTAAACCCCTCTATCCATGGAACATGTTAAAAACATTGGCCCGTTTATAAAACAGTCATTGGAACTGAGGGCAGAAGTCTTATATTTTTTTTTCATGTGTTCATTTATTATAGAATTGTTATTTCTTTGTTAAAATATGTTTTGTTTTTGTCACACACTATATATGTTTATATGACAATAAAGATATTTAAGTCAAACTGATACACCACTGTTCTAGGTGTGCCCCTGGAAATCATTTAACAAGCAAGAGGTCTGTTGTCAAGTTGTTGTTGTTG